CTGAGGCAGGAGAATCACTTGAACCCAGGAGGCAGAGGCTGCAGCAAGCCAAGACTGTGCCACTGCACAGTCTGGGTGACAAGAGCAAAACTCTGTCTCAAAAAAAAAAAAAAAAAAGCTGGATAAATTGGATAAATCCTGGCCCTCTAAGAACCTTGTAGGACACAGCCATCCTCCTATCCTAGACTGCCTTCCTCTGAACTTTCACGTGAAAGAAATAACCTTCCAGCCTGCTGAAGCCACTGTGATGTGCAGCTCCTATCTTACTAATGGCTGACTCTAATCCTAAGTGACAAAGTCCCTCTGGAAATCACATTAGCCAGTCTTCCTCATTCACACCCACAAACCCCACAGATCTGTCTGCACACAGGCATCCTTGCCTTCCTTATTTTTCAATGTGTGCCTGTCCTTTTTATTCCTCAATAAACAATAGACTCTGAATTGGTGGCTGGGGATCAAGAAACCGACTTCTTCCATCTTTTCTCATCAGTTACCACAGTTGAAGTTCACATTAGTATACTGTCCGGCCATGTCACTAGCCGGATGACAGGCCTCACATCTCAGTGGCCACCAAGGCACACTGCTCCCCTCCCAAATGACCGAGATGGTACCTCCTCTCTATGACCCTACAGCCAATACTCTGTCTCCAACCTCTCAGATCTTACCTGGAAGTCTGCCCCAACTTCTAACTGCAATGCAAATCGAAACCATCAGCTCCTACAGCCAAACTGAAACCATGCTTTCCCTTGTCACAATGCAGGTTGTGTCCCTCCTGACGCCAGCCCTCCCCTCCAATCCCTCCTCCTTCCCAGAAAACACTCTCCACCAACTCTCACGACCCTGTGCTGGGGAACCATTCACAGCTACACACGATCAGTCTCTCCGGAGTGCCCTCCTGTGAGCTCTTCATCTCTCCTCCCTTCAACAGCAAGTATCCCCTGAGGGTCACCTGTACCCTCTATCTCTTCCACCACTTTCCAGTTCTCCTCCCCACTCTAGTGGGACTTAAGCCCTCCACCATCTGGAACTACCTCTGAAAAAACTGTAAAGTGAGAAAATCATGACAGAGAAAGACACCTGACCTAACCAACCCCCACCTTTGCCTTTAACCTCCAACCTGCTCTTAGTCATCCCTGGGCTTGGGCCAAGCTAACTTTGGGAGAAATTTAGTTTACAGTTTAAATGACCATAGCCCTTCCCCAAAACTAAACCACCTTTGTAAAGCTAATGAAAGACTACCAGGTTAGGTGGGTAAGAGGAGCCTAAATTCTGCTAAGGTATAGACACAAATGATTACCAGTCATTACTCCAGCAGTTACAAGATTTGCAACTTCCCCAATTACTCCTGCAGATAATATTATTATTACTTTGAAATGGGATCTCCCTATGTTGCCCAGCATGGTCTCAAACTCTTGCGCTCAAGGGATCCTCCCACCTCGGCCTCCCAAAGTGCTGGGAATACAGGCATGAGCCACCATACCTGGCCAACATCATCATTATTATTACGATTATTTTGAGATAGAGTTTTGCTCTTGTTGCCCAGGCTGGAGTGCAATGGCGCGATCTTGGCTCATGGCAACCTCTGCCTCACAGGTTCAAGTGATTCTGCAGCCTCAGTCTCCCCAGTAGCTGGGATTACAGGCATGCGCCACCACGCCTGGCTAATTTTGTATTTTTAGTAGAAAGGGGGTTTCTCCATGGTAGTCAGTCTGGTCTCGACTCCCGACCTCAGGTGATTCGCCCATCTCAGCCTCCCAAAGTGCTGAGATCACAGTCATGAGCCACCACATCCGGTCCCAACATCATTATTACAGAACCTAAGATTGGCCTTTTGAGATATCTTCATATTTTTACTTTCCTGACAACCAATGGCTCCACCTGGACCTGCCAATGGGTCCTATGGCCCCACCCAGAAGCAGACTCTGCATGTAGGAGGACTATTTTCCACATCCCTATGATTATACCCCTAATCAATCAGCAGCCCATGTCCTTGCCCCACAACCTATCCTTGAAAAAGCCTAGCCTCTAAATTTTCTAGGAGGCTGATTTGGGTAATAACAAAATTCCAGTCTCCTATTCAGCCACCTCTGTGTGAATTTAATTTTGTCTCTATTGCAATTCCCCTGTATGGATAAATTGGCTGTATCTGGGCAGCAGGCAAAATAAACCCATTGTGTGGTTAAAGTTCCACGAAAACACTTTCCCCATCATCACCAAAGACCATCTGGCAGCATCTGCCACTCCCTGAAACACTGTTCTTGGCTTCAGGGCACAAATGTTCATAGCACTTTTATGTATAATAGTAAAAAACTTATCCTAAGCAGCATGGTGAAACCCCATCCCTACTAAAAATACAAAAAATTAGCCAGGTGTGGTGGTACACACCTGTAGTCCCAGATACTTGGGAGGCTGAGGAAAGATAATTGCTTGAACCTGGGAAGTGGAGGTTGCAGTGAGCCAGATCATGCTATTGCACTCCAGCCTGGGCAACAGTGAACCTTTTGAGATGGGATCTCCCCATATTGCCCAGGTGAAAACCTGGTGGTCTTTCAATAGCTTTACAAAGGTGGTTTACTTTTGGGGAAGGGCTATTATCATTTAAACTGTAAGCTAAATTTCTCCCAAAATTAGGTTAGTCCAAGCCCAGGGACAACTAAGGGCAGTTAAGAGGTTAAAGGCAAGGTGAGGGCTAGTGAGGTCGGGTGTCTTTTTCTGTTATGATTTTCTCACTGTTAAAATTTTTGCAGATGCAGTTTCAGAATGGTGGGGCGCTTAAGCCCCACTGGAGTTGGGGAAGAGGACCAGAAGGTAGTAGAGGAGACAGGGAGTGTAGGAAGTGATTCAGAAGAACAACTGAACTGTTTCTAGTTTTTATTATTATTTTTTTCTTTTTTGAGACATTGAGACCCTGCCTCAAAAAAAAATAATAAAAGGCCGGGCGTGGTGGCTCACTCCTGTAATCCCAGCACTTTGGGAGAGCAAGGCGGGCGGATCACAAGGTCAAGAGATAGAGACCATCCTGGCCAACATGGTGAAACTCTGTCTCTACTAAAAATACAAAACAAATTAGTCAGGCGTGGTGGTGCATGCCCGTAGTCCCAGCTACTCGAGAGGCTAAGCCAGGGAATCGCTTGAAACTGGAAAATAGAAGTTGCAGTGAGCTGGGATTGTGCCACTGCACTTCAGCCTGGCAATAGAGGGAGACTCTGTCTCAAAAAAAAAAAAAAAAAGTTGGTGCACAGTGGCTCATGCCTATAATCCCAGCACTTTGGGAGGCAGTAGCAGGCAGATCATGAGGTCAGGATTTCAAGACCAGCCTGGCCAACATGGTGAAACCCCATCTCTACTAAAAATACAAAAATCAGCTGGGTATGGTGGTGCGCTTCTGTAATCCCAGGTACCCGGGAGGCTGAGGCAGGAGAACTGCTTGAACCGGTACCTGGGAGGTGGAGGTTGCAGTGAGCCGAAATCATGCCACTGCACTCCAGCCTGGGCTACACAGTGAGACTCTGTCTCAAAAAATTATTATTATTATAAATATAAAAACTTAAAACAGTTCGGGTGTTCTTCAATAAATGGTTAAATGGTGGAATATCCATACTATGGAATAATACTCAGCGATAAAAAGGAACAAAGTATTGCTACACACAACAACTTGGATGAATCGTTGAGGAATTATGATGGGTGAAAAGAGGCCGTCTCCATGTTCTGTACTTTAGTATTTCATTTACACAGCATTCTTGAACTCACAAAATTTTAGAAATGGAGACAGATGAGTGGTTCCCAGGCATCAAGGATGGTGGGAGGAGGGGAACATTTAGGGTGTGGCTATAAAAGGGCAACCCCTTGGAGCGATGCCACTGTCCTGTATGTTGACTAGCAGTGATATACCATAGTTTCGCAAAATGTTACAATGGGGGAAATGGGGCAAAGGATGCGTGGGATCTCCCTATATTATTTCTCACAAATGAATGTGAATCTACAGAAAAAGTGATTTCAAAATAAAAAATTTAGTGGCTCACGCCTGTAATCCAAACACTTTGGAGGTCAAGGCGGGCGGATCACCTGAGGTCGGGAGTTCAAGACAAGCCTGACCAACATGGTGAAACCCCGTCTTTAAAAATAAATAAATAAATAAATAAATAATAAAAATAAAAAATTTAAACAGTGGGTACAGTGCCTTATGCCTATAAACCTAACATTTTGGGAAGCCAAGGTGAGAGGATTGCTTGATACTAGAAGTTCAAGACCAATCTGGACAACACAGCAAGGCCTCATCTCTAGAAAATTTTAAAAATTGGTTGGGTGCTGGGCGCAGTGGCTCACACCTGTAATCCTAGCCCTTTGGGAGGCTGAGGTAGGCAGATCACCTGAGGTCAGGAGTCCGAGACCAGCCTGACCAATATGGTGAAACCCTATCTTTAAAAAAAAATTAATTAAAAAAATAAAAAACAAATAAATAAATAAAATAAAAATTGGTTGGGTGTGGTATTAAGCAACTATATCTACCTGGGAGGTTGAGGTAGAAGGATCACCTGAGCCCAGAAGTTTGAGGCTGCAGTGAGCTATGAATGCACTACTGCACTCCAGCTTTGGTAACAGAGTGAGATCCTGTCTCTACAAATGAAAATAAAATAGACTGGCTAGACACAGTGGCTCATGCCTATAATCCCATCACTTTGGAGGCTGAGGCTGGCAGATCACTTGAGATCAAGAGTTCAAGACCAGCCTGGCCAACATGGTGAAACCTCGTCTCCACTAAAAATACAAAATTATTTGGGTGTGATGGTGAGCGCCTGTAATCCCAGCCAGTCAAGAGATTGAGGCAGGAGAATTGCTTGAACTCGGGAGGCGGAGGCTGCAGTGAGCCAAGATTGCATCACTGCAGTCTAGCTTGGGTGACAGAGCAAGACTGTCACCAAAAAAAAAAAATTAAATTAAATTAAAAAGGCAGCCTGGGCCAGGCGAGATGGCTTACACCTGTAATCCCAGCACTTTGGGAGGCCGAGATGGGTGGACCACTTGAGGTCAGGAGTTCAAGACCAGCCTGGCCAACATGATGAAACTTTGCCTCTCCTAAAAATACAAAAATTAACCAGACACGGTGGCATGAGGCTATAGTCTCAGCTACTCTGGAGGTCGAGGCACGAGAATTGCTTGAACCCAGGAAGGTTCAGTGGAGGCTGCAGTGAGCCAAGACTGCACCACTGCACTTCAGCCTGAGCAACAGAGTGAGACTCTGTCTCACACACACACACACAAAGGCAGCCTGTGTAAAACTGAACTCTAATTAAATGTCATTCTCCATCCTGAAGTTTGTTCTTCCAGGAATCCTCATCAAGGAGAACAGGGCACCAGGGTACCACTGTCTACCCATCCACAGCACCTGGGGCACCACTTGGGTCTTCCTCCAACCCACTGCTCCCCCTCCCTACTGCCCATTTCTGGTTCTTCAGCAAGTCTAGCCTATTCTGCCTTGCTAAGACATCTCGAACAAACCTTCTTTCCATCCCCACCGTTGTTCCCCAGCCCTGTTCTCTGCTGTACAGCCTCAGCAGCCTCCACCTCGACTCCCAGCTGCCACTCTGGCCCCCTCCAGTCTGTTCCAGAGCAGCCAGGGTGAACTTTATAAAACATACATCACATTGTGCTGCTCCCCTGCTGAAAACCTTTTCTTAGCTCCACACTGATCCCAAGATAAAGCTCAGCTCCTCCATCAAACCCCACCTCCAGCAGGTCACCCACACCGATCTTCTGTGAATCCTAGGAGACCTCTCTTCCCAGGGCTTTGAAAATGCAGTTCCCGCTGCCTGGGCCATTCTCATGCCCTCCTAGATCTCCACAGTCCTGCTGCCCCTCCCCCCCCCCCTTTTTTTTCAGTTGAAGTCTCCCTCTGTCACCTGGCTGGAGCGGAGTGGCACAATCTTGGCTCACTGCAGCCTCCACCTTCCGGGTTCAAGTGACTCTCCTGCCTCAGCCTCCCAAGTAGCTGGGACTACAGGCATGCACCACCACACCCACCTAATTTTTGTATTTTTAGTAGAGATGAGTTTCACCAAGTCAGCCAGGCTAGTCTCAAATTGCTGACCTTGTGTCCACCCGCCTCAGCCTCCCAAAGTGCTGGATTACAGGCGGGAGCCACTGTGCCCGGCCCCTGCTGCCTGTTCTTCACCCAAGAAGCATCCCACTGTCCTAGGAACTGATTTCTCCTTAACTGTCTTCATTACTCAATACACAAACACATTCTTGCAGTAAAAATTCAAACACTGAGGAAGTCTAAACAGCCAGCCTAAAGAGAAAGTAAGCCTCACCCCATTCTACTGGCCTCTGGGAGGGAATCGCCACTGACCCTGGCCTTCCAGATCCAGCACCCCCTGCTTATGTTATTCACAGTAGGAACGCCAGCAGAGGTCATCGTCTTCTATATGACCTTTTCCCTAATTCGATAATTTCTATAATTGCTTGTTCTATAATTTCTCTCCTCCACCAGACCGAAGGGCAGAGACTATGCAGCGTGTCAGTGAGTATTCTGAATCCGAACACCTCTAGATGGAGGTAGGCCTACCCGCCCCGCTCCCATTTCCTGGTACGAACCGTGATCCTTTAAGAAGTGAAGGGAGTCCCGGGGCAGTGGCTCACGCCTGTAATCCCAGCACTTTGGGAGGCTGAGGCGGGCAGATCACTTGAGGTCAGGAGTTCAAGACCAATCTGGCCAACATGGTGAAACCCCACCTCTACTAAAAATACAAAAAAATTAGTTGGGCGTGGCTGCGCACGCTTTTAGTCCCAGCTGCTCTGAAGGCTGAGGCATGAGAATCGCTCAAACCCGGGAGGTGGTTGCAGTGAGCCGTGATCGAGACATTGCACTCCAGCCTGGGCGACAGAGTGAGATTCCGTCTCAAACACTAAAAAAGTGCAAGAGTGGCTGGGTTCTCGTAGGAAGCTGCAGGACTCAAAGCTTAAGCTTCATCCCGCCAGTCTGGCACTTCGAGTTTGTACTCTATCTATATACCCATCTCATCCCACTCCTCCAAGAGTCTGTATTTCCCACATGTCTATTCTGTGCCATGCCCCTGAGTCGCTAAGGCTGCTTTTCCTCCCCGACGCCCAGCAGGTGCTCACATGGAGGCGCTCAGTGTTTGCGGTCTCCAAAGCCCACAGTTCTGAGCCTGAGCACCACCCCCATCCCAGGTTCTTGCAGAGCACGGGACAGTCCATGGGCACCCAGCGTTCGCTGGCTTGGATCGGTTGAATTTGTAAAACTGCACTACCACTGCAGGCGCTCGGTGTTTGCTGGCTTGGGTCCCTAGCTCTGAGACCAGGCTGTGCACACAGGTGACGCCCCTGCTGCTGTGGTCTGATTTTGAGACTACGTCCCAGCAAGAGGCATACAGTCCGATCTGCAGAAGTTCTTCGTGGTCAGGCCGCCGAGGCCCTCCGGCCAGCAGTTGCGGCCGCACCCCCGTCCCCGGCCCACCGCGCCGCCGAGCAGCCTCCCGGGCCGCAGCTGTTCCAGACCGCCCCGCCGCCGCCTTCCGCGCGGTTCCCTAGAGGGAGCCCCTCCCACGCCCGCCCTAGGCCGCCCAGGCTGGCGCTGTTCCGGGCTTGAGCCCCCTCCCCGCCGGCCCGGCTCTCCCCGGCTGTTCCGGCCCCGGAGCCCCCCCGCCGGGCCTCGGCTCCCACGCTGTTCCCGCCCACGCCCCTCCCGCGGCTGTTCCGGCCCCGGCGCCCTCCGCCCCGCGGCAGCCGCGCGCCCAGGGCCGGGCGCGGCGGGAGGGGGCCCAACGCGGAACAGCCGCCTCCCCCGGCTCCGCCGTCGCTCACCCTCCAGGGCCTCAAAGATCGCCTGCGCCATCTTGGAGCCGCCGCCGTCGCCGCTGCGGGAGCCGAAACCCGGCTACGCGAGCATTGTGGGAGCCGCGGCGGCGGAGTCGGGGCCGCCAGAGGGCGCCCAGGAGCCGCCGCTGAGCCTCCAGCCCTGGAAACGGCCTCGGCTCGCGGGACCTCCCGCATCCCTGGGCTGCCCCGGCTCCACTCGATAACCCGGTTACCGGACCAACGAGTGTGGACCCCGCCTCACTTGAACACCGACCTTGTATCTGCCGCACGCGCGAAATTTCCCGTCCCTTCTATCTGAACCCATATCCCCATCTCACTGGAGCAGACCCTCCAACTCTGACACAGAACCCCCCATTCCCACTGCACGTGAGTCCCCGAGGTCTGCAACACGGACCCCACTTCCACTAAGCACAGTATGCTCCGACTCTGCAACAAACCATGAACCCCATCCCATCTCACCCAGACCACCCAGCTGTCACAGGGGTCCCCCAACTGTGCAACACAGATTCCCATCCCCCACCCCCTGTTAGCGATTTCTCGCCCTTGACACCCCCCTCAACTCCGTCTGTCTCTCCTGACAGAGCCACCTGTCTCTTCTCGCATGACTCCTAGGCCGGAGACCAGTGGGCGATCATAACCATGATCTCCTGGGCTCAAGCCATCCTCCTGCCTCAGCCTCCAGAGTAGCAGGGACTACAGGCGTACACTACCATCTCCTGCTAATTTTTAAATGTTTTTGTAGAGATCAGGATCTCATTATGTTGCCCAGGCTGGTGTCGAACTTCTGGCCTCCAGCGATCCTCACATCTCGGCCTCCCAAAGCACTGGGATTATGGGCGTGAGTCTCCGTGCTGGGGCTCCCATTATCTCTTAAGTAACTCCATCTCTTCACCCTCCATCCCTGCTTGTCGGGACCCCATTTCTGTCATATAAACGCCCAACACCCACCTCAGCCACTCTTAGGCCAGCCTCTGAAGGACCCTGTCCAGGTGGCACAGAATGAGAGGTGCTCCTCACTGGGACTCCTCCCACACACAGACCCCTCTCATCTTCATTCATGCTCCATCAACTGCTTATTGAGGGCCTGCTATTCACCAAGTCCTGTGATAGCTCTAGAGACATGGTGGTCCTTTCCCATGGAGTTAAAGGTGGGAAAAAAGACAGACATTAAATCTTAAAGGTTATTTAATTAATTACAATGTGTGTGCCAGCCATGGTGGTTCAGACCTGTAATCTCAGCACTTTGGGAGGCTGAGGCTGGAGGACCACTTGCATCCAGGGGTTTGAGACCTGCCTGGGCAACATAGCGAGATCCCGCCTCTACAAAAAAAAAAAAAAAAAAAAAAGTTAGGCATGGTGGTTTGCACTTCAAGTACCAGCAACTCAGGAGGCTGAGACAGGAGGATTGCTTGAGCCTGGAAAGTGGAGGCTGCAGTGGGCTATGATCTCACCACTGCACCCAAGCCTAGGCAACAGAGTTAAACCTTTTCTCGATAATCATAATCATAACGTGTGATAGTGGTTTCAAAGTATCCTTGGGCAACAAGCAAGAGTTTAGGGAGTGCATAGAGGGGAGGGAAAAACCGAGGAAGGGACCGTTGTTAAAGAAAAAATTTGCCGGGCGTGGTGGCTCACACCTGTAATCCCAGCACTTTGGGAGGCTGAGGCGGACAGATCACCTGAGGTTGGGAGTTTGAGACCAGCCTGACCAACATGGTGAAACACCATCTCTACTAAAAATACAAAATTAGCCGGGTGTGGTGGTACATGCCTGTAATTTCAGCTACTTGGGAGGCTGAGGCAGGAGAATCACTTGAACCTGGGAGGTGGAGATTACGGTGAGCCAAGATCGTGCTACTGCACTCCAGCCTAGGCAACAAGAGCTAAACTCTATCTCGAAAAATAAAGAAAGAAAAGAAAAAAATTATTTAACTGGTCGTGGTGGCTCCTCTGTAATCCCAGCACTTTGGGAGGCTGAGATGGCAGGAGGATCACTTGAGCCCAGAAGCTGGAGACCAGCCCGGGTAACATAGCGAGACCCGCATCTCTACAAATGATTTTTGAGAATTTTAGCCTGTAGGCTGGGCACGGTGACTCACGCCTGTAATCCCAGCATTTTGGGAGGCCAAGGTGGGCGGATCACTAGGTCAAGAGATTGAGGCCATCCTGGCCAACATGGTGAAACCCCATCTGTAAATAAAATAAAATAAAAAGGAAAATATTAGCCTGTAGTCCTAGCTACTAGGGATGCTGAGGTGAGAGGATTTCCTGAGCCTGGGAGGTCAAAACTGTAGTGACCGTGATCATGTCACTACATCATGCCAGCCTGGGTAACAGAATGAGACCCTGTCTCAAAAAAAAAAGAAAAGGTAAAAGAAAAAATTGTTCAATGATCCTTGCTAAAACACAAACACAATAAGGAAGGCTTTATTCAGGACTATTGCGAGAGGTTCAGGTGACCACTACAAAGGGGTCTTGCAGTGGGGGAGAGAGACTGGGCTCAACTCTGAATACAGCATAGGCAAGTGGAAATGTAAAGCCGAGGAACATCACAGGAGGTTGTGGGCGGGGGGGTGGGGGTGGGGTGGGAGGGGTCAGGGGATAGAAAATTACCAAGAGGAAACATCAGAGGTAAGGAGATTCTGGCTAAACCGACCTAACAGGATTCTTGCTGAAGACAGGCCAGGGTAATCAACATCACCTGGGAGATGATGACAGATGCAGAACCTGGTCAGGTATCTAGGATGATTAGATATCAAGGATAGGGGTTCTTGCTAAACTGACTTAAAGCATTCTTTCCAGAAACTAGATTTTACAAGGAAGTGCACAAGTGGGCCTATCAGAAGATTCCAAAGTTTGACCAAGCTGTTAGACCAAGCAAAGAATCTTTGTCACCAACAATCATGGATCTCTCCCATGATCATGGAAATATCCTCATACAATGGGACCACCATAGATTGGATTCAATGTGTTCACTAGTGTTATAGCTGTTTTAGATTTTGTCTAGCAGGCTTTCTGGTTTTTGCTGGAAAGCCCCCAGAAAAAATTTTTTTTTAATTTTTTAAAAAATGCATGCATTGATTTTACCTATTTTAGCCTCAGCTAAATAAATTTTAAAAATCACAATTTTCATTTTCTTCTATTCACTATATAAATCCTATAATTAAAAATTATTTGTTTGTCTGGGCATGGTGGCTCACGCCTATAATCCCAGCACTTTGGTAGGCCGACAGATCACGAGGTCAGGAGATCAAGACCATCCTGGCTAACATGGTGAAACCCTGTCTCTACTAAAAATACAAAAATTATCTGGACATGGTGGCGTGTGCCTGAAATCCCAGATACTCCGAGATCTCATCATTGTACTCCAGCCTGGCAACAGAATGAGACTCCATGTCAAAAAATATATATATTTGTTCACAGCTGGGCATGGTGTTTCATGGCCCTAATCCTAGCACTCTGGGAAGCCATGGCAGGAGGACTGCATGAGCCCAGGAGCTTGAGACCTCTGAACTACAATTTTTTTTTTTTTTTGAGACAAAGTCTTGCTTTTGTCTCCCAAGCTGGAGTGCAACGACGAGATCTCGGCTCACTGCAACCTCCACCTCCCAAATTCAAGTGATTCTCCTGCCTCAGCCTCCTGAGTAGCTGGGACTACAGGCAGGCACCAGCATGCCTGGCTAATTTTTGTATTTTTAGTAGAGATGGGGTTTCACCATGTTGGCCAGGCTGGTCTTGAACTCCTGATTTCAGGTGATCCACCCACCTTGGCCTTCCAAAGTGCTGGGATTGCAGGCATGAGCCACCATGCCTGGCCAATTTTTTTTAAACTGTTTTTTTGAAGTTTCTTTCCCCTTGGGGAATCCTGCCAGCCACTGTTCCTGACAGGCTGTTTCTGTAGAGGCAAAAGTGACTCCATCTTGGATGCTAACCCCCCATGTTGACTTCTGATTAGCCCCAGTCCTGTGAATGGCTCCTGATTCCTACTTTATTTACTGTCCCTAGTCAACCTGATGTTATTGCACAAATTATAAGCTATGACATATACAGCATTCCTGCCTGCTCTGAAAGGTTCCTTTAATTGTCTTGCACAGAGCACTTAAAACTCTTTTCCTGTGGAATATCAGCCCTGAGTCTGGGAGTAACAGATGCAGGGATCTCCATGTCTTGCTGCCGCCCAAGCCCATGCCTGCCTGTAAGGTCCCGCATTGAAACACCCTTCACTGACAAACTGAATTTGTCTGCCTCATTCCTTGGTTTTTTTGGCTCCCTTGGCATTTGGGGGCCACTTTGTATATATAGCCCTTTCACAGAACAGCCTCACAGACTCTCTGCCTATTCACGCTCTCAAGGCCCATTTCTACCAGGGAACTCCCTGTACATCCCTGAACACCACTCCTATGCATACCACTGCCACCCCGTTACCTCCGTTTCCCTTCCCATCCCCCTCTGCACAGTGAGCCCTGAGCAAATATTCCCCACAGAAAGCCCACTCTGCCATGGGCAGTGGCTCAAGCCTTCATCTCAGCATTTAGGGAGGCAGGGGGTGGAGGATCGCTTGAACCTAGGAGTTCAAGACCAGCCGGGGCAACATATTGAGACCCCATTCTCCACAAAAAGAGAGAGAAAAAAAGAGAAAATCCTCTCTTCTCCAAGCCTCCACACCCTACCTCCCTTCCTGGGAATCTTGAAGACCCAGGGCACACCCCAAGCTGTAAGCACCCCCTTGCATTGCCTTGCAGGCAGATATAGCCTGGGTTCCTTCCTCCCTGTCTCTCACATGCTCACGGATCCAATGGCCTCAGATTCTCTTCTCTCCCCTGCAGGTTTCTCAATGTAACTATTCTTTGTTGGTTTGTTTACATCACCAAAGCCTGCAAAGTATACCTAGTCTGTTTTTGTTTTATTTATTGATTTATTTATTATTTGTTGTTTTTTGAGACAGTCATGCTGTGTCACCAGGCTGGAGTGCAATGGCCCATCTCTGCTCACTGCAACCTCCGCCTCCCAGGTTCAAGAAATTTTCGTGCCCACCATCACACCTAGCTAATTTTTGTATTTTTAGTAGAGACAGGATTTCACCATATTGGCCAGGCCAGTCTCGAACTCCTGAGCTCAAGCAATCCGCCTGCCTCGGGTTACCAGAGTACGGAGATTACAGGCATGAGCCACCATGCC